GAAAAACGTCGTATCGGGGTAGGATTGACGAAGAAGAAAACAGTTTTTTTAGTATAAATGAAACAAAATAAGCTAGAAAATGTATTGATCGAAACTCATGAACATGTCTAGTTATAATCACATGAATTATAGTAAATCAGGGTGTATACGAGGCACGGTCAAAAAATTCATTTTTCGGAAAAAAAATTCGAGCACTATTTCAAAACCAACAAGTTATATTTTGGTGGGATATTATAGTTTCAGTCTATTGTAGGCTTCGAAAACGTATTCTGATTCTTGATAACTATCTCTGTTCGAAATATGAATTTTTAGAATTTTATGTTATACCCCTTTTTGAAAACAATTGAAAGCTTGTTTTTGATCACAAAGAAAGGAATCGATTGATACTGTTGATTGAATGAAAGCTGAGGAAACTTACTAGCGAATTCAGTTGTTCAATATTGCCTTTCATTTAGATTTTGTTGAAGATTATTTAACATGTTTCAATTGAATATCTCGAAAACAGTTCCGTTAATTTGGATCTCATTTTACACACACTATTTTGAATATGTTGACTATCATATGCAAAAAATTTTTCAATTTTTTTATGTTTCGTTTCTGAGATATGCATTTTTGAGTTTACAGTATTACAAGTATTATAGAGTTATTACCTCGAATATTACTCAAAAATTGATATCTCAGAAAGGAAACATAAAAAATTGAAAAACTGTTTGCAAATGATAGTCAACATATTCAAAATAGTGTGTGTAAAATGAGATCCAAATTAACGGAACTGTTTTCGAGATATTCAATTGAAACATGTTGAATAATCTTCAACAAAATATAACAAACCCTGTATCTAAATGGAAGGCAATATTGAATAACTGAATTCGCTAGTGAGTTTCCTCAGCTTTCATTCAATCAACAGTATCAATCAATCTCTTTCTTTGTGATCAAAAACAAGCTTTCAATTGTTTTCAAAAGGGGTATAACACAAAATTCAAAGCATTCATATTTCGAACAGAGATAGTTATCAAGAATCAAAATACGTTTCCGAAGCCTACAATAGACTGAAACTATAATGTCTCACCAAAATATAACTTGTTGGTTTTGGAATAGTACTCGAATTTTTTTTCCGAAAAATGCATTTTTTGACCGTGCCTCGTATACACCCTGATTTACTATAATTCATGTAATTATATCTAGACATGTATTTGAGTTCCGATCAATACATTTTCTATCTTATTTTGTCTTATTTATACTAAAAAAACAGTTTTTTTTCTTCGTCAATCCTACCCCGATACTACGTTTTTACGGGGCTTTGTAGGCTTATATCTCAGAAACTAAACATACAAAACATTTCAAACTCACATATTTTTATAATGTGCCATCCCACAATAACACAGTTAAATTTCAGCCAATTCGACCGAGAGCCAATTTACCGTGTTTTCGTGCAGGGTCCTTTTGTAGCCGTTTGAAAATTACCGTGGCATTACTGATAGTCCAAGAGCCTGCTGCAAATTTCGACCATCGTCTGATAATGAAATGATATAGGTCCCAAAGGCATGTAAAAATATTGTAGTTTATCGAATGGCACCTGTGCCAATCACTATCCTGAGCAAAATGATTGAGAAATTGCACTCTCCTGTGCGGAAATTTGCACTTGATTTCGCGATTTGATAGCGAGATAAGAATTATACCATCCGCTACCAATTGAATGGTAGATTTCAACAAGCTACCTGTGCCACCCCTCGGTCTGAACCCTGTATATACATTAGACAAGAGTCCGGACACAAAACTGACAGCTGTTAGGATTTTCAATATAATGTTTCATTTGGTTTGCCCACCTGACAATGTGCCTAAACACCATAGTCTTCTCGCCCGCTTTTTTTAATCATTTCGAATTTCTGTCACTGTCACTTTGAAATTTTATGTCCGCCAAAATTTAGCATTTTGAATTATTTCAATGTCCTGCTGCGTACATTATTGCGATAATTCATTAAAAAAGGGATTCAAGTTATTATTATTATTTAATAGTTATTCTAGTTGAAATAGCCCTATTTCTCACTTCTACCTACGGCTATGAACGGTTTGACAAATACTCTAACCCTCAAAATTGTTTCTGACAATCATTGATACTAGGGGAATTGAAAAGACAGAGCTCGATATATATGTCTTATTCCTTCATTCAATCATCAATGCATTTTTTGAAAACAGAAAAGGACAGAAGTACAGCTGTGTCCGGACTCTTATCTAATGTATATACAGGGACTCTATTCAGAACCACTCTCTGATGAAGATTCCATGTATCCCTCGCAGATCCATTTATCCCGCGATTTTCTATCGCTGTATTTTTCATAGTTTTTATCAGTCAGCTTTGTACATTCCTTATGGAACCATAGCTTGCAATCACCATAACATTGCAATATTAATCATGTCAGATCCATCGCAAAAGCTGCTTCACAAAAACTCGGATTCTTGTTCCGTGCGAAAAGCTACTTTATACCGAAACAGATTCTCATGATCTACAAAGCGCAGATACGGCCTGTTCTAGAATACTGTTCCCACATATGGGGTTCAGCACCAAAACATACGCTGATGCTCTTAGATTCCATCCAGAGAAGAGCCATTCGCCTGGTGGGTGACGCCACACTCACTCACTCTTTGACATCATTGGAACACCGTAGAAAGGTCGGCGACCTTTCACTTTTCTATCGATACTTCCACGGGAAATGTGCTTCGGAAATCTCTGCTATCATCCCTTCACTAGCAATACCAGTCAGACGAACTAGACAAGCCCAGTCAGCACATCCTTCCGTTGTCAACCTCGAAAGATGTCGAACAGCACTTTACCAAAACTCCTTCATCCATAGAACGGCTAGGCTCTGGAATTCATTGCCTGTGGAAGTATTCCCAACAACATATAATCTCCAGAAGTTCAAAAAGAAATTCCAATACCTACCTCCTATCCCTATCCTTCCTAGGAACGCACGATGTTCTTTGAACATTATAGGGATTCCCTTTCGTGCGCTCCAAGCGATAAAAAAATATAAATAGAACTTACGTGGTATAGGCTATTACTCAGAGCAAGAACAAGCTCTCAATCAATGTATTTTATTGGTATATCACTGTGTACCGTTAATCAATAACATGAAAAACACGGTTTTAGCAATATTACTGCCTAGGCAGCAAAGTGATTACTTTGCTGATTGATATGTGTCAGCAAAATTAAAAATCCATAAATCGTCTATAATTTCCTTCATATTTCATCCGAGACTTCTCCGGCAACAAATTCAACTCTATATTTTTGACCACCTCCCTTATCAATGGAGGTGTGAGTATACTTCCAGGTCGCTATCACTGTCCATTATATAATAATTTAAATATATCGATATTTTTTCGCACAACTGTCAGAAATTTCATGAATTGTCAAACCAACAACTGCGATTTCTATCAAATTTTATTTTAATTGAACACTATACAGGAGGAATAAAGAGATTGTGGGAATTGTATTAATTCGCAAATATAATATTCTCCCATATCATTATGAACAATCGGAGAAAAAATTATATGTTCAACTCGGCAGCAAAATAGATTGACTGCCTTAGCTGGATTCCTAGCCTCGCTACGCTCGGCTATGAATTCAGCCACGGCAGTCAATCTACTACTTTGCTGCCTAGTTAAACAAATAACTATTTATTTATTGACTTGTAGAATGAACTCAAAATTATCTGAAGTTAAATGTAAATGTCCTGTAACCTACAAACGTCAAAAAATTGCCATTGTAATTTTATGCTCCGTCCCCCAAGAAATTTGTTTAGTTGCTATGGTTACGATACGAAATATAGGCTTTGAATTGATCGAAACTGTTTGGTGCGAAATTTTCACCTAAAAATCGACCGAAAAATTAGCAAAAAATATGAAATTAATAGTAGATTGTTTTATTAGGATCAAAAGTGACACTTTGTTTGACAAGCGAATTTTGCATTTGCGAGGCGGAGCATTTAGCGAAGCCGAGCGAAACCAAAATTTGCGAGTCGAACAGTCACTTTTGATCCGAATGAAACATGCTATTTTTTCTGCAACCGAAACAATTAACTCAAAATACATGTGAAGTAACCACCAATGCCGTGCCATATGGTATGCAATGCAACAAATATTGACAAATATCCATGTGGTGAGAATATTCTACCTGCATTAACAGCAGGTTAGGTTTTCTAGGATGATTCAATTGTAGTTTCAATATAAATACAACCACAGAGTGACATATTATTTGTGTATGGACCATAGGTGCTCTAATGGCAAATACCGCGCCAGTGCCAGCTATAGGAACAAGACGTGGAAAATGTTAGGTTAGTGAGCATATCAACAATGAAAATAGTGATTATTTATTCCTCTCCATACTACACTGTGTTTGACTTGATAATCAAATGAAGCTAAACAATATCGTTGTGTAAGACAAAAAAACTTTTGCTTGCCGTGATTATTCAAAAACAAGTTATTTGAGTCTTGAAGGCTTCCCAGATCAAAACAAAAATACTCAACTGAGATGTTTATAATTTCAATACTAAACTAAAATTAGGTGTATTTATATCTCCAGCATGGGTATGAAATGCCAAATCTGCTGAAATCGGAAACAAATCAGGTATGCGTCTCAACCCAAATAACCAACCGTCACAATGTTGTTTATTCTTGATGACGTCCAGTAAATTCTTTTTAGTTCCTAGGATCTAAATTTCAACTTTAGCTCCTAGGAACTAAAATTCAACTTTAGCTCCTAGGAACTAAATATGTTGCCTAGCAACATACCTATTTTTGTGTCAGTAATAGAAACGTCAATTTAAGAGCTAATTTTGGTATCAAAATGGACGACTTTTGTGTCGGTTGCAGAAAAAAGTTATTTGATTTATGAATATATTTAAGAAATAAAAAAAACAGTCCACTCGCCTATTGCCAACATTTCCTACTCTTAAAAAAGAACCACTCTACACATTTGTTACATGAACAACTGATTGTCTTAGATGCAGCAAGGTCGTCGCACGGCCAGCCTGAAGGCCTCTTACGAGGCCATCAACAGTGCCGGCGGTGGACACGGCGGCGGCGGCCACGAGTACGGCATCGGCAGAGAATTGGCGGGCGCCGCGCAGACCGCCATCCAGGCCATCCAACAGGATCACGCCAACAACAAGAAGAAACAAAAGTAAGGGCGCGTTCTCATTAGTGACTATCGACTTTTATGCATGTGTTACTTAGTTTTCGTTTTACTATTTTCTCAATCTTTTGCCATCGAAAGTAGTTTTTTATTCGATTTTCTGAACAAGAGATTGTGTGGTAACGACAATGAGGATCTGAAAATAGTTATTTATGATATGAGTGCTAAAAGTGACATTTCATTTTGTGAGAAGGGAAGTTTGGGACATGACACCGAAGGCGGAGTGTTCCATCCCTTCGAACCAAAGAAAAATCACTTGTAGCACATATTATATCATACACTATTTTTTCTACAAACACCATTAAAAGTCCAAATTAAGGCATAACTATTTCACATTACTTATTAGTTGATTAATAACAGCCTCTAGATTATCAGTTTTGAATCCAATTCAATCTAATCTATTCATGAAACAAGTTACCAAGGTAAACAAAAACTGAATTTGTTGATTTATCTTTCTTGACAACTAACGTCAATAAATCACGAATTATTCTTTCTCGTTTCTTCGTTCCTCGATGGAAAGTGCCCAAGAAAATGAATTTCTTCCGCCGCAAATTGAAGAAGCTGCCAATAATCATTGAATTATTATAGTAAGTCAAAGCGACAGTACGAATGTCAGTGGAAAGGAAGGCCAGTGAAAAAGTGCTTCTTGCTTACTTTGAAGAAAAGTCCAAAATATGGAAATCGTCAACGCTTTGGTCGAATTACTCTATGTTAAAGTCGATGATGAACATAAATGATCATGACATAAGCAGATATCACAAGCTTGTGGCTTTTTTGAAGCGAAAGGGTGAAGGATATCGACCGAAAAAGTCAAAAGTATTGACAAGAGAACAAATCAACGAATTTCTCGCAGAAGCCCCAGATGAAATATATCTAATGCAGAAAGTTGCTGCGATTTTTGGTGTTTTTGGAGCCTGTCGTCGAGAAGAACTGTGCGATTTCACATTAAATAATATCGAAGATTCCGGAACTTCACTAGTTGTGCATATACCAGATACAAAAACTAATGTGCAACGCACCTTTGTTGTAAGTGGTACATTGTATATGAACTACTACAAAAAGTAAATAGCCCTTCGTCCAGTGGATATTAATCTTTCTAGAGTTTTTATAAAATGCATTAAAAATGAATGTGCCAGGACTTCAGTTGGAATCAACACATTTGGTAAGATGCCTGCCAAAATTGCCGAATTTCTTAATTTGCCTGATTCCCGTCTATACAGGCTGATTCACGGTGGATGGCACGTTAGACGTTTATGGAGAACGGGACATAGGATCATTCTGAAATTTTGGTAACTCACGTAGTTGCTCTTGGTCTATCGATCTAAAATATTTTCAGCTCTGCGGCGTTGCCGCTTCTATCGAAAAGTAGCAACAACTTTGTTATTTTAAATGGAACACCCTGTATTTTATTGCATTTCCAGATTCTCTCTGAAGAGCTGATTTCATCGATGTATCACACTTGGGGTCTAGCGGAAATGATTACAGAGATATAGGGTGTGAAAAATCGTCATTTTTCAACTTTAGGATTTTTTTTTGTCGAAACTATTCATTATTGGTCAAAACGGCTCACATGTCCCTATCTCAACTTTTGATCAACTATCTACTGATATTTAATTGGGACATATACCGGGTGATCAAGATTCTGAAATCCGCACGACCCTGTATTTGTTTCAATTAAATGTCAGTAGATAGTTGATCAAAAGTTGAGATAGGGACATGTGAGCCGTTTTGACCAATAATGGATAGTTTCGACAAAAAAAATTCCTTAAGTTGAAAAATGACGATTTTTCACACCCTATATCTCTGTAATCATTTCCGCTAGACCCCAAGTGTGATACATCGATGAAATCAGCTCTTGAGAGAGAATCTGAAAATGCAATAAAATACAGGGTGTTCCGTTTGAAATAACAAAGTTGTTACTACTTTTCGATAGAAACGGTAACGCTGCAGGGCTGAAAATATTTTAGATCGATAGACCAAGAGCAACTACGTGAGTAACCAAAATTTCAGGATGATCCTATGTCCCGTTCTCCATAAACGTCTAACGTGCCATCCACCGTGAATCAGCCTGTATACTGGACATTGTTTTCGACGTTCCTCAGCTAGTTTGTTGGCGGACTCTGGTGGTAGTCTTACTACAATTGAAAGACATGGTGGATGGAAATCCAGTACAGTAGCAGATAGTTATATAGAAAACTCACTACAAAGGAAACAGAACATTGCAGATCAAATTTTGTCGAAAACTTCGGCAGATAATATTGTTCTCTGCCCTAGTATAAGCTTCACGAAAATAAATTCTGTCACAGTTTCGTATTATTATAATTGTAGTTTCGCTAATTGTACTTTTAATTGAATAAACACTTCATTTTGAATTATGATTACATATTTTCTCGTAAAAATAAATCATTTATTTACTTTTAACACCATTGTCATAAACTGACATTTTAGACACTGACAGCATGCGTCAAAAATAATACTTTTAGTGACGTTTGTAGAAAAATAATATTCTTAGATAAATCATCAACATAAAAAAAAATCACCGGCATAAAAAACCGGCCAGCAAAATTTATCGCTTTGTAACTTTTTCAAATCTTGTCTGATTTTGATGAAATTTCGAAATGTTAACCTGAATTTTAGTTCTCTAGAAATGCTGATGGCTTGATCATTATACAGGAAAAAACAAAAATTACTTTTTCACCCTCTAATTCTCAACGCCCTGTGGAGAAAGTGAGCAGCTATATTCAGCTTCATCATGTTCTGGATTGAAGGGTGATCTCTCACTAACACAATGTTTTTTTATTCACGTCAATATCATTTTTCTAAGAGAAGATACAAGTGATACATTTTTCTGGTTTGTGATTCACGTTTGAGTATTATTATTGTTGTTAACAAGTTAAGTTGAGAGTTTTGATGTGATAATAATGGCGTTAACTGCTGCGAACGTTGGTCAAGTGGTAGCTTCAATTGAAGATGGTCGCAGTCAGCGTTATGTTTCTCGAACATTGGGAATACGACGTACTACAGTTCAATACGCAGGAATTGGTTTCTGGAGACTGGAACATTCGAAAGACTGGATCAGGAAGAAGAAAAGCAACGAGAAGGATTGATGATCGTTTTGTTGCGCTCAGATCGTTGTGGAATCGCCGAACAACAGCGGTACAACTTCAACATTACTTGCATGTTGTTCGAGATGTTGATGTGAGTGAAAGAACTATCAGGCGGAGGCTTGGAGAATATGGTTTGGCATCTAGGAACCCAGCCACTGGAGCGCAACTGCTACCTAGGCATCGTAGGGCACGGTTACATGTGAATTGGACTCTTCAACAATGGAGTGAGGTTTTCTTCACCTATAAGTCACGTTTCTGTTGGTCGAGAAAGGGTGTGGAGAAGACAAAATGGTGCTTTTAATGCACACAGACATGTAGAGGATATTCTACAAGAAGCTGTCGTCCCATACTCCCATTTTATGGGAGACGGCTTTGTTTTGATGCATGACAACGCCAGACCACATGTTGCTCGAATTGTAACCAATTATTTGGATGAGGTTGGAATTCTAAGACTTGATTGGCCATGCAGTCCGGATCTCAATCCCATAGAGCATCTTTGGGATGAACTCCAGAGGCGCATTCGTCTTCGTCCGGCCTTGCCAGAGACTCTTGAAGAGCTAAGATTCGCCCTTCAAGAAGAATTTGAGGCAATTGCTCAAGACTGCTTGAGAAATTTGATCAACTCGATGCCACGGCGGTTGAACGCTGTAATACAAGCTCGAGGAGGGCATACTCGTTACTGGTTAAATCAAGGAAGTCGGCTTTTTGTGATAAAAGATATTTTTTTTAATTTTTCATATTACTTTTAGGTACTGCTCTTATCGAATTGAATTTTGTTTTTCTGCAACCGACACAAAAGTCGTCCATTTCAATACCAAAATTAGCTCTTGAAGTGACGTTTCTATTACTGACACAAAAATAGGTATGTTGCTAGGCAACATATTTAGTTTCTAGGAGCTAAAGTTGAATTTCAGTTCCTAGGAGCTAAAGTTGAACTATAAAAAGGATCTACTGGGCGTCATCAAGAATAAACAACATTGTGACGGTTGGTTATTTGGGTTGAGACGCATACCTGATTTGTTTCCGATTTCAGCAGATTTGGCATTTCATACCCATGCTGGAGGTATAAATACACCTTATTATAGTTTAGTATTGGAATTATAAACATCTCAGTTGAGTATTTTTGTTTTGATCAGGGAAGCCTTCAAGATTCAAATACTTGCTTGATCTGTATTTCATTCGTTATTCTCGGGATGGATAACTTGTTTTTAAATAATCACGGCAAGCAATAGTTTTTTTGTCTCAAACAACGATATTGTTTAGCTTCATTTGATTATCAAGTCAAACACAGTGTAGTATGGAGAAGAATAAATAATCACTATTATCATTGTTGATATTCTCACTAACCTAACATTTTCGACGTCTTGTTCCTATAGCTGGCACTGACGCGGTATTTGCCATTAGAGCATCTGGTCCATACACAAATATGTCACATCCCAGAAAACCTAACCTAATGCAGGTAGAATATTCTCACTACATGGATTATTTGTCAATATTTGTTGCATTGCATACATATGGCACGGCATTGGTGGTTACTTCACATGTTTATTTGAGTTAATTGTTTCGGTTGCAGAAAAAATAGCATAAAGAAAAAACAATGAAATTCCCAAAGTCTGTCGACCACAAAATCATCTAATAAGCGACGTGTTACTAGTTTCGGCCACAGGCCATCATCAGACACAAAATTGATGTAATATTATATAAGGTACTCTTATATTACATCAATTTTGTGTCTGATGATGGCCTGTGGCCGAAACTAGTAACACGTCGCTTATAAAATGATTTTGTGGTCGACAGACTTTGGGAATTTCATTGTTTTTTCTTTAAAATCAATTGGACCACTTTGAGAAAAATGGATGATTTCTATGATTTAAAAAATAGCATGTTTCATTCGGATCAAAAGTTCGCAAGTTTGCATTCGCTCGGCTTCGCTAAACGCTCCGCCTCGCAAATGCAAAATTAGCTTGTCAAACAAAGTGTCACTTTTGATCCAAATAAAACAATCTACTATTGTGTTACTGATTTTTTTTAGCCCATTTGTACACTCCACCCCGATTTATCGATAAGTTGCTCGTCAACCTGTTACTATTCTCTTTTTGAAATAATGATTTTGCCAATGAGAATATCAGAATGGGAAATTATTCCCCAAGAGGCAACCGACGACTGCATTGAATTTTAATTTTTGTCAATTATTAATTGATAATTTCTTGTAGAATCTAAATTATTGTTGATAAAAATTGAAAAATGCCATAATTTCTTGAAACACTTGTATCTTCTCTTGAAAATAACATATTGACGTGAAATAAAAACCATTGTGTTGGTAAGGAATCACATTTCAATCCAGAACATAATGAAGCTGAGTTTAGCCACTCACTTTCTCCACAGGGCGTTAAGAATTGGAGGATGAAAAAGTAATTTTTGTTTTTTCCTGTATAATGATCAAGCCATCAGCATTTCTAGAGAACTAAAATTTAGGTTAACATTTCGAAACATAAATCTATGATTTGGTCGAAATTTCATCAAAATCAGACAAGATTCGAAAAAGTAACAAAGCGATCAATTTAGCTGAAATTTTTACTGGTCGTTTTTTTTTGCCGGTGAGTGTATATATGTTAAGAAATACGGGAAAGTACTTTTCGCTGCCGCTTAACAAGCAGGAAACATCATTTTCTCTGCCTAGACAGGAAAAGTTTGTTGGTATGCCATCTTCCAAATAATTTGAATGAGTTCGGTAATCAAAATTGACACTGACATTGGGTGAACACAAAATGATGGAGTTTCCAATAGAAATTTACACAAAATAGGTTTTTAGAAGACAATATGTTTCTCACGGCAGAAAATGTAGATTGACTGCCTTTGCTGAATTCCCAAAATTGGTTCTATAACATTTGGAGAAAAATAGTAGATTGTTTTATTTGAATCAAAAGTGACTTTTGATCCGAATGAAACATGCTATTTTTTCTGCAACCGAAACAATTAACTCGAATAAACATGTGAAGTAACCACCAATGCCGTGAGAATATTCTACCTGCATTAACAGCAGGTTAGGTTTTCTAGGATGTTCGAATTGTAGTTTCAATATAAATACAACCACAGAGTGACATCTTTGTGTATGGACCAGGTGCTCTAATGGCAAATACCGCGCCAGTGCCAGCTATAGGAACAAGACGTGGAAAATGTTAGGTTATTAATTTATTCCTCTCCATACTACACTGTGTTTGACTTTATAATTAAATGAATCTAAACAATATCGTTGTTTGAGACAAAAAAACTATTGCTTGCCGTGATTATTCAAAAACAAGTTATCCATCCCGACAATAACGAATAAAATACAGATCACGCAAGTATTTGAATCTTGAAGGCTTCCCTGATCAAAACAAAAATACTTAACTGAGATGTTTATAATTTCAATACTGAACTATAATAAGGTGTATTTATATCTCCAGCATCGGTATTAAATGCCAAATCTGCTGAAATCGGAAACAAATCAGGTATGCGTCTCAACCCAAATAACCAACCATCACGATGTTGTTTATTCTTGATGACGTCCAGTATATCCTTTTCAGTTCCTAGGAGCTAAAGTTCAACTTTAGCTCCTAAATTGAACTTAAGCTCCTAGGAACTAAATATGTTGCCTGGCAACATACCTATTTTTGTGTCAGTAATAGAAACGTCAATTTAAGAGCTAATTTTGGTATCAAAATGGACGACTTTTGTGTCGGTTGCAGAACAAATATTTTATTCAAACGTTTCCCGTTCTCACATGTTTTTACATTGAATAAATACAACTTCATCGCGTCAAATATTTTTCAAATTCAGCGTCACCAAACAAGTTGCATGACACCCGACGCCTAAATCAAAAACGCTGCACTGAAAACTCACCTTGAATCATTCTCTGAAGGAAATGGCACACCGGCGGTGGCGGCAGCAGCAGCACCACCAGCACCTCCAACTCGTCCCTATCGGGGGCGACAGGGGCGGCGTCGGCGACGGGGGCGGCCTCGGGCACGACCGCCCCCGTCTCCCCCGCCCTCGATGCCGCCGCCCTTACGCCCGCCTCTGGAGCAGCCGCCGAAGTGACGGACGGCGAATGGACGTACGACCCGAACGAGCCGCGGTACTGCCTCTGCAACCAGGTGTCCTACGGGGATATGGTAGCTTGCGATAACGAGGACGTAAGTCGTTAAAGAACAACTGTAAAAAACTGCTCTTTCCCAATATATTCCCTATTGGGGAAGTGAATGATTTTTCGGAATTTGCGAGACACGTCAACGTTCAATAGTAATTTTCCTAACATGTGCAGAAAGTGATACTTTCTCGCACGCGAATGCCGTTGACCCGAACGACGCGAAGCGCATTAGTTAGGAACTAGTAATTTTCCTAACAAGTGCGGAAAGTGATTCTTTCCCGCACGCAACTGCCGTTGACACGAACGACGCGAAGCGGAGTTCGGGCAAGCAGTCGAGTGCGGGAAAGACACTTTCCGCATGAGTTAGGAACAATATAAATTGATTGATTTGTTCAATTAATTATTCATTCATATAAGAACAACTAACAAGAGAAATATATTCTCTATCTACTGATTATTAGTAATAGCTATTGTGAACTTACAGTTTGACGCATTATGTATAGGTTCATTGCGGAAGCCAGCAGGCCCATAAGGTGTTTGGTCTCTAGGTTTCAGACACGTCTAGGAAGTGAACCAAAAATACTTCTTCTTTATACGGTATTTTCATTTCTTTATTGTTGCACCATTCAATGAAACGCGTGTATAGCTTCTCATACCTTTCTTAAGACTTCGTTGGCAATAACGCATCTGTATCGCATCCCTATAGCTGAAAGTTTTTGATCACATTGTGCAATTCCACTGAATCGAAGATGACAGGAACGCTGTGTCTGTCACTTCGACAATTCCAAACTCATTTGAGGTTTGATTGGCATGACAACAATAATCGTTTCCCATCAGATCGATCCAAATCTATAAATGAATTTTCATAATAATTAATTTTAATTTTTCAAAATTTCTTAAGTTTCACAATAAATACACTCAGTTCCAAAAAAAGTGACGCATTTGATATTTGACCTATCTTCTTAAAAAAAAAAACATAAAATAGTAGGCCGATTTTTATTTTTTTTATTTGTTGGTAGGTAATGCATTTGTTAAAAAAAATAATAAAGAGGTGAAAACTTTTTCAAGGCCTCCTTGATGGTGGTGGAATAACTTGAAACATGATTTATTCTTAATTTTTGACTCACACTGTGTGTTAATTGAGTAATGGCATAGAAAGTGCTTACACCCTATACGAAAGAGGCTTCTTTTGCGAGCATTTTGTTTTTTCATTCATTGATTTTCCGAATTACAGCTTTTTTACTGATACCTCACGCTTATCCCACAAATTAAATTTATTGAAGGATCAGAGTACTCAAAATTGATTGGGTTGTACTCTGGTAGGATCACATTATCTTAAAAAAAACAAATGCCGTTGCCATAGCAACTAATTTGTTGTATGCCTCCATATTTGACCATTTGTCGTTGTGTCATTAATTAAGTGTCTTGTTTTATTGACCAAAATTACATAAAATGCCTCAAATAAATCCTGAACAAGTAGCAAGATTAGTTGCGTTAGTAAACGATGGGCGTAGTAAACGTTACGCCGCTCGTGCAGTGGGAGTTCATGAAGCAACTGCTCGTAGAGCAATCCGCAAGTACGAACAAACAGGAAGCACCGCTCGGAGGGTCGGTTCTGGTCGCCCCCGAAAAACTTCTGCAAGAAATGATCGCTTCTTGAGATTGCGGATTTTACGGAATCGATCAAATACTGCGGTAAATGTTCAGCAAGATCTTCGCCAAATTCGTGATGTTGCAGTAAGTAAGCAGACGGTATGTAGACTTCTAAAAGAAGTTAATTTAAAAGCCAGAAGACCTGCAAAAGGTCCCAGATTATTGCCCGAACATCGTGCTGCTAGAAGAAATTTTGTTGAAAATTATGGACAGTGGAATATTCCTGAATGTCGAATGTCTTGTTTACGGATGAGTCAAGGTTTTGCCTTAACATGGTGGATGGAAGAAAAAGAGTGTGGAGAAAAACTGGTGAACGGTTTAATCAAAATTTAATAACAGAATGCGAAAGTTTTAATGGTGGGTCCGTTATGGTGTGGGGAGGGATTTCAATAAATGGGAAGACACCCCTTCATGTTTTTCTGGTGAGGCAGTCAATGAATGCCCAAATTTATATTGACATTTCAGAGCAGTATGTCTTAGCTTATGCAGAGTTAGTGGGCAATAATTGTATATTGATGCAGGATAATGCCCGACCACACACCACAGCAATAGTGCGAAACTTCTTAGAAGCTACTGGTATTACCACATTACAATGGCCTGCGAGAAGCCCCGATATGAATCCTATAGAACATTTGTGGGATGAATTAGGGAGAAGGGTACGTTCTCGCGAGAGGTCTCCGGAAAGTTTCGCAGAAATGGCAGATGCATTAGTGGAAGAATGGGATCGTATACCAATGGAAACGATAAGCAACTCAATTTCCAGTATGCTTCGTAGATTAGAAGTTCTTAGAGTTGCTAGAGGACGCAATACACGGTATTAAGCAGTCATCCCAATTTATAATTTTATGTTCAATAAAAATGTTTTTTAAAATTATTGGTATCAGTTTATTTCATTAGAAAATTGTTTCTCAATGAATTCAGAAAGTTGGTAATCTGCAAGGATTCAGCAAAAAAGCTGTAATTCGGAAAATTTTAGAGATAAATCAATGAATAAAAAAACAAAATGCTCGCAGAAGAAGCCTCTTTCGTATAGGGTGTAAGCACTTTCTATGCCATTACTCAATTAACACACAGGGTGAGTCAAAAATTAAGAATAAATCATGGTTCGAGTTATTCCATTACCATCAAGGAGGCTTTGAAAAAATTGTCACCTCTTTATTTTTATTCAAAACATGTGCATCACCTACCAACAAATAAAAAAAAATTATTCTTTATTTAAGAAGATAGATAAGAAGGTCAAATATCAAGTGCGTCACTTTTTTTGGAACTGAGTGTAGTACAATTTGATGGATGATTCTGATTATACATACTTAATACTGCAACAAACATACTCAAACTCTCATATTCCATCACCTACCACTCATATTTTGCCATATTATCATATCTTTGTTTTTCCCGCACTAGCGTGAATTTCCACTGAATCGAAAATGACAGTAACGTTCTGTCTGTCACACGAGAATTACACTAACTAATTGGTGTTTTGATCAATATGACAACAATTGTTTCCCACATCAGATTATTTAAAAGCTATAGGAGGATTTATATTGCAATTATTATTTCTCAATATTTCTTCATTTCCACAATAAATAGTGCAATTTGATGGATGATTCCGCCCAAACTTACTAAATACTGCAACAAAACAACCTAAAATTGTCATTTTGTGTCACCCACCACTCATATTTTGCGAGAATATTATATAACTGTTTTTCTCCCACTAGTGTGTGAAAACTTTTCCCGCACTACTGCGGGAAAATGACACTTCCCAAACTGAATAGCGTGCGGGTATAGGGTGAATCAGGCACGCTTGTAGAAAAATGTATATACCTACATTTAGCAAGCAATATTCTCGATATTGGTTGCAAAAGGTAGGTGAATACGTTAAATCGTTGATGTCTGTCGGGAATTTTTAGAATAAATATTCACCTCCCCGCTAACGAGTTTATTGCAGTTGAAGTCTCCATACTCTATATTTTGTGGGCCTGAAGAGTTCAATTTTTCCATATCAGAATACTGTTTCATTACTTTACGGACAAGTGTGAAAAAAGTACACCTTTTCCACTGTTGTTGCTAGGCGATGGAATGATGACGATGAACTACTACAATTGCTAGAACTTTCCATTAAACCATTCATTTTGCTTGGAATCGTAACCTTCAATGTCATCCTCCCTAGGAACGCAAGATGTTCTTTGAACATTATAGGGATTCCCTTTCGTGCGCTCCAATCGATAAAAAAAATCAGTAAAAAGTCGACTTTAACTATAAAAGCGGCATATTTGAGACTCCACCGATAAAGTTCATTTTTTGCTAGAGTTCCTTTAAAAATGTATTATGGAATCAGATGCGCCACATAAATTAAACTTTTCAAATGAAAGAGAACTGTAAGTTGATGCTGGAACCGGCTCTGTAAAAAGGTTTCCTTTTCATTTGTAGTGTTATCAAAATGAAATAAATTTTTCTAACGTTGGAAACCCTGAAGACAAGGACAAAAAAGTAAATGAGAAGATGAATCAGATATCTCTAGAAAAAATTGTAGACCTTCACCTACTTGATCATGTGAAATTTTGTAAAGTAATACTTCGCGAAATGAACACGCGCCACTGTTGAATTTATTCGACACTGTAAACGTCACAAAAACGAAAATAGTGCTGTCAGATATATGTCACTGTCAGATATAAAAATCATGATTGGTTTCAGGAACTGAAAACGGTATTGAAATTGGTTGTGTCCTTCCAAAGTTGTGCATATTTGAATATGAGTGATATTATGCATTGTTACGTTTCAATTGTTGAGCAGTTCAGTTGACACGCTACAGTAACTTTGAATAATGTTGTGTGACAGAACAGGATCAATTTCATCAGTCTTTGAACTTTGGTATAGGCTGTTTCTGATGTGATGGTTTCTTTTGATGAGATCTAAATCCTGCATTTCACTAGATTTCAATCATGATACATTAATAAGGACAGATATAATATCGCGCAGGAGTGGGCGGGGCTAATTTCAGCCAGCTGACGTCACGTTGTGAGTAGAATGCCATGTTCAACCATTGTGGACGGTTAGAAATTGTTGTTTACAAAAGTTTTGAGCCATGTTTTTGTTGTATTGCGGTACCTTTCAGTGAGTTTTTTGTTTGAAATGTGCTGTCTTTGGATGTGGTGTCGACAATCAGGCGAAAGGATTTTCGTCTGACACGAAGTTCTTCAGCTTTCCTAAAGACAAAGTGTTGGAAGGTAGATGAAAACATCTTTGCAAACGGAGTGACAAGTTCAAAAACGTGAATAAGGATAGTTTTTTCATTTCAAGAAATTACCTGAAAAAATTAGTGAAGATGAGTTCTCATGTAATTTGTGATGAAAAAGCAAAACTATTATTCTCTCGTTCTCGAATGTTTTTCAGGATGAGGGAATTACATCGTAAATTGCATGATGCTACTGTTTCCAAAAAAATAAATTTTTCAAAAATAATAAAATGGATTATTCAATATTCACAGCGTTTTATTTGCCATGATAAAATATGAAATGAATACCTACAGTACACACAGTGTGACCCACCTAAGACCGGAGCTCCCCCATAAAATCTACAGTTTTTAACTGATCAATTTTTTTTTTCATTTCAGCGGAAAGGATGTCAAAAGATCTACGTTTACACATATTTGAAAAATAAAATTCCGATTTTCAGGGCATACTATAATTTTTTTTATGTAGAAAATTGCAAAATATCATTAGCGATTTTTTTTCATGAAGTTTCGACTTCACCACTAGATTCAGCATCCTTCAATTAGGTCAACTGCGAAATTTCATTGAAAAATTTTTATTGGCCATAAAGTCATAAACAGCATTAATTTTGTTAACATCCCATTTTTTATGAATATTGTAGACAACTTCTGAGATATGGCAACATAGTCAACACAAATGTAGGAATTAAAAAAGGATTCTGGTGAATATTTGAATTTCGAGCACAAATTCCTCTCGATTTATAACATCTAGAATTGAAAATATTCGAAATCTATGTCGAAAAACCAGCTTTTCTCATGATAGTTATATCAACCAAAGATTTTTCAATGAAATTTCGCAGTTGACCTAATTGAAGGATGCTGTCTCTAGTGGTGAAGTCGAAATTTCGTGAAAAATATCGCTAATAATGTTTTACAACTTTTGTTGCTTAAAAAATCATAAAAATGTCTGCCTTGAAAATGTGAACTATATTTTGAAAATTTCCACCTGAGGGAAAGGTTTAAGCCCCAAAGCCTTCACTTCCTCCCTGGCTAGGCCAGTGTTCAGTAGGTACTATTTTCATTTTTCGATTCTGTAAAAGTATAATCTTGAACTTTTTTATTAAAATAACCTATTTTGTTCGACATTTGGAATACATTGGAGAGATGGAAAATATAATCAGACACCCTGTAATTACTTTTTTTAATTGAAAATGTTGTTTCTGACTCAAACAAGAACTTTAAAACCATCCGAATATTAAATATTTCAATGGTCCACATGCTCTTATATTGAAGCGCGCCACAACTAACTCACAAGGTGACGTCATGCGCGAGTGGGACGAATTTGGAACCGCTTTTTTTTATCGCTTGGAGCGCACGAGAGGGAATCTCTATAATGCTCATAATATAATATCATATCTGTCCTATTCATTGTATCATGGATTTCAATCAATCAATCAACTTTATTATTCCCAAGATACAACATTTTTTTATGCAAGAAATCTTTTTTTTTTAGTTCAACTGAAAATTATTCTTAATTGACTCAGCTGTTAGGTACCCAATGGAAAACTATAGTAGTTATACGAGAAAACTATAAAAATGAGATAAGATGTCAATATTACATGAGTAGATGTTTCTTGAATTCCTTTTTAAGTTTTTCAATCCTATTAATCAGCTTCAAGTTATTTGGTAGTGAATTGTATTGTGTCTTTCCATTGTGATAGATCGATTTTTTACTAATATCTAACTTAATTTTCTTGACAGAAAATTGATCTGCTTGTCCAGTTGTATGGTTATGGTGATTACTATCAATTTGGATAACCAAATTTGAATGCTTTTGACAATGTTTAAAACCCATTAGCGCCCAGATTAATTTTTTTTCGATTTCTATATTTTTGCAGAGTGTTTTGAGAGGAAACAAGTCTAATGTGCTAAGAAATGATACTATTTTCAATAATCCGTAATTGGTGTTGAAAAAAAACACTGATACCATATGGTATCCGTGGGCATTTGAGAGCATTTTTATTACGAAATAATAGAAAAAATTAACATGCCATTAAATATGCTATAATACGAAACTAATGTTCTATTTGGTATGATATGAAGCAAAACAGTTGATACAAAGACCAACGTCGCACTTTTGGCACATTGTTCTACCAAAAGATTTACATCCAATTCCAGCACATCTTCGTCTGTTACATGAGATGACAAAATGATCCATCTTATCGAATCTTATATCAGGAAGTGAATTCTTTGTGAGGCTGATTCGGCCAGGAACCTTCGCAGGTGTTTTATATTTTGTTAAATATACTTGAACAATTTCTCTTCTGAAATCCAATGATGGTATTTTATTATTTTTTCTATGAAGATACCAAGCATTGTGCAATGCGACATCAATGAGCCAGGTAAAAATGGGCCAGTACCACTTCTTGCTGCGTATTCCGATGCGATAAGCAGCAACGTCTTGGTCCATAAGATCGGTACCACCCATGTTATGGTTGTAAGCAGCCACACAGTGAGGGCGAGGAACCATTACATGTTTCTTTTCTTTTTGACAATATCTCTTCACCGTTCCTCCTGGTTGAACACCAGCATTTGTGGAGGCGATAGTAACAACAGAATTGTCCATCCACCGTACCAAGATGATACCATCATTTCTTTCGATGACATATTCGTATTCCCCCCGCTTTTTCTTTTTGAATTCTTTTTTTCCGGTAATTGGACACGATCTAGGTATTCTATTTTCTCTGATTGTGCCAATTGCCCTATATCCCAATTGTTGAAGATAAGCCAATAAATTCAAACCAGTAAATAAGTTATCGATGTGGATAATATACGGTAAATTTGGTTGGGTCAGCTCTTTCAGCATTAGTATCAAAGGTGCTGCGCATTTTCCAACTAATTTGCTAATATCTATATCTTCTCGAGGATCATTTCCCTGGTATAAATCAAAATCAATGAGATATCCATCATTTGAGTTGAGAGACCACATTTTGTATCCAAAACGGATCGGCTTCCCACGGATGAATTGTTTACATCCGTGGCGTCCGTAATATTTTATCATAGTCTCATCATAGGATAAATTCTGAACTGGTTGCAAATTGTGCAAGAACTTTTCTTTCATTGCATTCATGAGTGGTCGCAATTTCCAAACCTTATCAGATTGAATCACATGAGTGTTATCTGCCATATGGATGAATCTCTGAATCTGGAGAAATCTATTTCTCCGCATAGAATCTGATACCATTTTGTTGTGCATGTCATCTTTCATATCCCAGTACGACCGTTTTGTTGGTAAATTGTTGTAACCACTTAGTATAAGAATTCCTATGAAACAGCGAATTTCGGAATCACTAATTCCAGGGTCCACTACATTTTTGAATTGAGCATATTTTCGTGTTTCTTCAACAAGGTGATGTAGAATCTCATCGTCAAAAAAGAGTTCGAATAGCTCAACTGGCGACATGTCCTTATACATCGAAAAATCTGCCTCGGGAAATTGTCGAGCCATCGGTTCTATGTCACCAGAAATCCACTTTGGATCAGATTTTTCCTTTAGACGATCTGCAATCCACTCTCCGTTTCCAGAATGCAACGAAGCATCTTTTTCGGTTGTTGAAGTCGAAGGCATATTCACAGTCTCTTCAAAAACTCCCTAAAAAGAATAACGCATATATGTTCACGTCCTAGAGAGAATAGGTTCACTTACAGTTCCAGGTTCATCGTTCTGACCGATATCTCCAATTCTCTCATTATTCAACAATTTCATTTCTGCAGGAGCTCTCAATTGTCGACCTATAATATCAAAATAAATGGAAGGTGGAAATAAATATATAGCAGAAATACCAGTGAGGTTATGAATCATGCCTCCTTCGTCTTCGTCAGCAGAATCCTCATCTGTGTCGGCATTAGGATCTGGTGGTTCCACAAATATTTCATCAACTTGTTGGAGCAAGTCCTCATCATCATTCAGCATATCCAAAGCTTGCGAAAGCGAAAAACCCTTTCTGCAATGAAATGAGTATTTTATCATCTTCAAACGCCCACGGATACCATATGGTATCAGTGACATTTGTAACATTATTGTACACCCTGTATTCGAAATATTCATCTCATTCATATACAGGAATATTGTATCATTCATGAGCAAAGAATACACGTATCAAATGTTACGTATTTTGAAACAGATAAAGTCAAAAAAGTACTTACTCCCATTGTATGTCCATTGTTCTCTTCAAAATGGAATCACTCGATATAATTTACTGGTTTACCGCTGCGAAGACGTCTCGGAACACAATGGCAGTAATAGAGAACTGAAAGTATTTGTTTACAAAGCACGCAAACGAGGTCACGCGGTTCCACCACTTCAATAACCATTGCGTCGCATTGGAGAAGGGGAAGATGATTTGCGATACCATATGGTATCCGTGGGCGTTAATGGGTTAACTGAATGAATGAACGATTTCAATTCGAATTTCTGTAAAGGTTCATAGTAGGTTCCAAATAATTTAGTCTGTATTCCCGATAGAAAATAAGCGTACGTCACCTATCGGAGATCTTGAAAGCTGTCAAAGCGGCCTGTTTACTTTGTTTTCATTGGTTCATATTTGTTTTTCGTTTGTGCTTATTGGTCACATCATCATTACAAACCGCTCAGAGGTGTTCAAATCGTTGTCGTCAGGTGGGGCAACGTGTTATTTTCTATCGCAAATATACATTTGATAATTTTATTTTGAAGAGTTTTGAGAGGCTTCATAATTGATAGTTTTGTTGCACCCAATACACAAATCAAATATTAAAATTCAGAATAGATCAAAGAATGAGATGAGTAAATTAAAAATGTTTTATGTTGCAGTGTCCGTCAGAATGGTTCCATTACCCTTGCGTGGGCATCACCGCGCCCCCCAAAGGAAAATGGTTCTGCCCCCAATGTACGGCGACCATGAAACGTAGAAAAGGAAGGAACAATTGATAGTACGAGCGTGTTCGCGTTATTTATTCGTCTTCGTAATGGCATTAACAGTGAAGTTAATTATGTACCAATGACGAAAAAATGTCTATTATAGACAGTTTTTCCCGGAGGTGCATATTACATTTTTTCGTCGACCTCGAACACTTATATTCACACACCACGGTCTTATTCACACGAAAATTCTATCGGATTTCGTAAATGGTTAATTTGACAAACAGTAAATGACAGTTGACA